TACCTTTCCATTCTCCTTTCTCTGTTTCTCACCCACCAACCAACCTACCTGTCATCTGCCCCCCATCATCAGCTATATTATTTATTTATTTCATTTATATCCCACCTTATTCCACAACAGGGACCCAAAGTAGCTTACGACATTTTCTTCTCCTCCATTATATCCTCAAAACAGGCCTGTGAGGTAGATTAGGCTGAGAATGTGTAAGTGGCCCAAAGTCATCCAGAGACATTCAAACCTGGGTCTCCCAGATCCTAATCTGACACTCTACACCATGCCAGCATTCATGAGGAGGCTGTTATTGAACAGAAGTAAGCAGCTATTCCTGGTTGAATAATGTAAGACGCATATCAAGTCACCTGAAGGTTGCTGCCGTGCCTGGCCATGATGAGTCTCTCTCAAAGGCCAAAACAGCACTGGCAAGGACAGAAAGCTATTGACAGAAAGCAAGGCCTGAAGACTGGCAATATTGTTGTGGTTGCCTAGCAACCCCCACAATGGCTGCTGAGAGGGCATTCATTTTTTAAAACTACAGGTACTGCTTCTGTTATTTTGATGTGATTGAAATATCTCTTTCTTTGTATGTATAAGTGACATGGCCAATGTATTGTCCTACCAACTTTTACTTTCCTGAGCTTGTGACATTCGGGGACAATATAAAATGCCCTATTTCCTTGGCTGCAACAAATTTTTATCTCTACCTTGTTATTGTATTCTACAGAGATGACTTTGTACAGGTTGGGAAAGGAGCGTTCAACAATACTCTGATAATCCGAACAATGAATGTGGGGCTAACAGTGCTTATGGTTTGGGATGCAGAGCACAGCAATATTGCAGATTATGTGCCCCTTCTTGTTCAGCATGTCATCTACCCTGAACTCAGAGACATTGTTGTAGGCGATGTCATCTGCTTCAGTTCTTCACTGGTAAACCAAGAAGGTGAGAAAGCAATGAATCAGAGCTGGCATTAAGAGGAAGGCAAGGGCCTCTCAACACTAAATTGCTATGGAAACTTTATTCTGTCGTATGTGTGACACATCTTCAAAACAACTGAATACATTATTCATTATATTACTCACTATCAAATGTCAGTCCCTATCCTTCTTAATGAGATAAACAGATTTAATCAATTCCTCTCTTTAATTATATCAATCCACTTTTTCATTTGTTCTGAATGGTGTCGTTTATATTCATCCTAAAAATAATATATGAAATATGTTACACAATTGTGTTTTATAACTTATGTGTGGGAAAATACAGTTACAAATGTTTTATACAAAGCCGGTTGTGAGACAAATTGTTATTCCAAGGATATTTTGTCAAAGAGCCACACTGAAGTTGTTCTGTATTTTATATAAATGGTTTATAAGTCATTATATACTGGTACTTGGGTTTGAGAACATGACTTAAAAGCTGCCGTGCTACCAGTGGAGGTGATGGTATGGACCTAACACATTGTACTAAACCCTGGGCCTTGCAGGTAATAGTGGAGACCACATATGCACAGGCTAAGGTGTAGTATTATTCAGGCCACCAGCAACATTTTAAGTAGCTTCATGGGGCAAGAAATAGGATTCATGCAGGTACAGTAAATAAAATTCTCCCAGAAAATTATACACTCATATCCTGCTTTTATATTGCCTGGACAAAAAAAAGTTAGCAAGCAAGCTGAAAAATGGTGTGGCAAAAATATCTGTAGTGTAAATACCAGATAGGAGGATATGACAAGATCCTAGGTACACACTCAGGTTTTGATATTCTTCAGATATCTTCAGGTTGTATGAAGAATAAGGATGATGAGAACGATAGCTTCTTGGTAGTGTGTGCATGTGCGACAAAAATAGCAGAAGTAGTAATAATACTAGACATAAGCATAGTCATCTTACAGATGTGAAGGTGGAGAATAATAAAGTTTTAAATTGCTGATACAGGTAATTTCCTCTGATTAAAAGTGAAATCTGAGCATTTTCCACCTCAAAATGAAGTTCCTGACTTCACAAACAAGTTTGAACTGCAGAGGCAGTCATCAAGTTTCAGCCATCATATGGGAACCATTACTCTGCATGAAGGGAATTATTGTCATGACAATTCTGTTTATGCTCAGTGGCTCACCACAGAATGTCTCTGTGAGTTCAAGCCTCTTTTCTCAGATGTTTATACTAGTTTGGAGAAACCACTCAGGGAGGTTAACCTGCACATGATCTCATTACTGTGTCATAGCAGCCAGAGTGTGGAGCAATTTACAGTTCAGTCCTAAGCAGCATTACACCATTTTGAGCCCATTGACTTCAGGTGGACCTAGAAATGTGTAACTCTGCTTAGGCTTGCACTGTTATATCTGCACCTCTATGACAGCCTTAAGATAAGCCTAAGTAAACCAGTTCTGAACTAAAGCTGTCTACTTTTCCCTGTGCCCAGGAACCTAAAGTGGTTGTGGCTTTGCTATCAATTTTCTGGGACTGTATTACTTACTGCGAATGCATGAATTTTATTTCCAGTGTAAATGATAAAGAATGGAACTCTTCTCCATTCTCTTTGTTGCCCAGAAATCAATCTGTCAGTTCCCAGCTGAGTAGCAGCAGCAACAATTTTAAAGCTGATGCTGAATAGAGATCCTGTTATAGCTTTTGCCAAGTATATGTTGTGATTGGATATAGAAATTCCAGTCAAGGAGGGAGAAGGGATAAAGTAGTTTACAGACTGAGATCCTTCCTTTCATTACTAGCTTTCTGCACAGCACCTGATAATCAGATATGGGGCATGAGTGTTATCCAAATGGCCTACAACTCCCCCCATATTTGGAGCATTCTGCTTGCATGTCAAGAGCACACTCATGTGTATCCAGGTAAAATTAAATTAGGTACCACAGCCTGTGTATACCAAGGACCATAATTTAGTAGTAGCTGTGGGAATATGGAGGTTACCAGAAATAACGCAGGCAGAAAATAGAATCAAAGTCTAAATCTGTATTTAGAAAAATAGAGTGAGAAAACCAGGAGCCGCTCAGAGAGCCGCAGGCTCACACACACTTAAACACAAACAAGCTAACACCAAGCAATAAAAATACATGATCAAGGGGACCAAATAAAAAAAATACAAGCCTGTCTGAAGCAGTGAAGGGATCCTGAGGATCCAGGATAGAAGGAGAGCAACAAGGAAGAAGTGTGGTGAAAAAGTGGCACACCAAAGGCTGGGGTGTGTGTGACTGGAATGAATTGGTTACTGGCTAGTCTACAGCAGGGGTCCTCAGCCTTTTTGAGCCTGCGGGCACATTTGGAACTCTGACACTGCATGGTGGGCAAAGCAACAAAATGGCTGCCACAGGAGGCGAAGCTAGTCACAAAATGATTGCCACAGCTTAACTTCAGTAACACAGTGCAGATCCTTGGTAGCTGTTGCCAAAGCAGCATTTTTTAAAAACTCCATATGTCAATCAGAAACCTTTGCTGGGTAAAAGCCCTACCTGCCCCCCTTCCTAGAAATTCTTGGTGGGTGCTGGAAAAGGTGTCAGTGGGTGCCATGGCACCCTCAGATTTTTGCATGGTTCTCATGATAATCCCTTGGAGCTGCGGTGGCTCAAGTGGTTAAGACGCTGAACTGTAGGCTGTGGAAGGTCGGTAGTTTAGCAGTTCGAGACCCGAGTGTGCCGCATGATGGAGTGAGCTCCCGTCTCTAGTTCCAGCTCCTGCCAACCTAGCAGTTCGAAAGCAAGAAATTGCAAGTAGATAAATAGGTACCACTTCAGTGGGAAGGTAACAGCGTTCCATGCGCCTTGGTGTTTAGTCATGCCGGCTACATGACCACGGAAACGTCTTCGGATAGCGCTGGCTCTTCGGCTTTGAAACAGAGATGAGCACCGCAACCCTAGAGTCGGATTCGACTGGCTTTCAAGCAAGGGAACCTTTACCTTTACCTTTACATGATAATCCATAGCACCTCACTGGTTTCCTCCAAGTCTGCCCTTATTTTCAAATTAAACTGGTATATGTGAGGGAAATGTGTCTCCCTGCCAGTAAATCTGCCCTTGTTCAGTTTGTATCAGGCTTGGCTCATAATACTAATTTTAACCCTCCCAAGAAAAAGGGGGAAAAGAGACCACACTACTTTGGCATAGGGGTCAATGTGACCCAAATATTACAGCAAAAGTAATGGAAACCTGATAGCTCAGTCATGGCGTTAGCTACTAAGAAAAAAATCAGGCCTCAAGAGTAACTTCCTTCAGCAATGCAGGTCAAGAACAGTAAAATTTGGAATCGGCATAAAAATACCCTTCATTGAAAATATCAAAACCCCACAGAAACATAAATGGAGTCAAACTGATCCCATCATTTTTTAAAGCAAAAGACACAGCTGGGAATCTGTAAAACTATTTATTTTTAAGAAAGCAGTCAAAATTTGAAGGAAAACAATTAGCTTAGTGGACAGGTGGCTAGGGGTCATTTAGAGTTTCAGGCTGAATGGCTTCTTCAGGTCTGGAAAATGTGTATAGCTTCAGTGGATGCTGGCAGACATGCCTGGGCTTGTCTTACAGGGGGATAGAATGACCCCATTTCCAAATTCCAATACAGTACAATTTGAGCTTTGATAGAGCACAACAAAATCTGCTCAATGGACAGATGGCTAGGGGCTGAATGGCTCCTTCAGGTCTGGAAAATGTGAGGTTCAAAGAATGCCTGCAAACATGTTTAGGCTTTTCTTGCAGGGGGATGGAATGACCCCATTTCCACAATTGCAATACAGTTCAATTTGAGCTTTTCCATGTGACTATAAGGGAAGTTTTGACAGAGGACAAACACAGGGCTTTTACCTGGTCCTACTATATAACACAACAATTCAGGTTGCAAACACTGGTTTCCTTGGGGGTCATTTCAAAAGTGTTGTAAAACCCCAAACCCAACAACTATCTATAGATAAAAGTTAAGGAGAGAAACTTTAGTTTTTGCTGTTTGCTCCACCTTCCTATAAAATGGAGATAACAGGTGTTGGTCCATCTATGTATACATGTAGTAGTAGTAGTAGTAGTAGTAGTAATAGTAGTAGTAGTAGTAAAATTTATTGTGTAGCTATTGATCATTACAATTTAAAATTTAAATTTAAACAATGTACAAATTAGACAACTTACAGCAGTGGAATTTGAATTAGATTTAAAATATAACTTCTAAAATCTCAATTTCATTTCATTTTCCTAATTAAAATCTTAAATGTAGATACCTATCTCCAGAAACATACACAGCCTCAAACGTTGCTGTTTTACATTGCCGTTTTACAGTTCAATTTCATTTCATTTTCCTATGTTCTTGGCCCTGATTTTACCAGCCGTTAAGGTGAAGAGTGCTACCCTAAAGGAAACTGTAGGGTCTGCATCTGACAGCAGACATATTAATTTATTGGTGTCAGAAAATTTTTGCAGTTGATCTATTATTGCAGTCAAGAATTTACATCTCAGTTCCCAGTACAATGGGCAGACCATGACATAATGAGAAAGATCCTCCACAGAGGTTTTACAGATACAAATACATTGTTCCTGGGGTATTTTTAAGTATCGTCCCAGGAGTAATTCTGTTGGCATAGTCTGGAAACGCAGTGCTGTAAATGCTGTTCTAAGCTTGTATGCGGTAATATTTACCAGGTATGCAGCTCTTAAATGATGTCTTTGTACCAGGGAGCAAATTTTGACTGAATGATTAAAGAATAATCTATTATGGCATCTCCATTAAACACCCATTGCCTCGGATCATGGTTGTTCCCTAAAGATCACAGTAAATCATCTGGAATTGTATAACGGGAAATGGTGTTATGAACAAAATCAGAGCAAATTTTATCTTTACTTAGTGACAAACAATAGCTAAGTTGACCAAGAGATTCCGTTTGCATCAACTGGTATTTCTGCCATGATTTTAGTACAGCTAGATGAACTATGCATACATGGGAACAGGGCTAAAATAATTTCTCAATATTTGTTGGGGTCATTAGAACCTCAATTACAATTGTGCATAGTACTTTCATTTTCAAGCCAAGTCTATTGGGGGCCAGAATGACCCCATCTACCCTTTTGAGAAAACCCAAACTTAAAAAAGAAAGGCAGTGGGAAGGGAAGAGAGGGACTTCAGGGCACTGCAGTTCATTGGGGAGAAAGCATAACAGGAGTTTGATGTCTGTAGAAAGCTTTAGATGGTTAAACCGATTTTTCCCCATGGTTCCTGGAGGCCAAAATATCCTGAGTGTCTTGGGAGGGTTAAAAGAAAACATTTAATAGTAATGTAGTGAAGAACTTAACTATTTTTCTTATAGTTGGCAAGTTTATGTGTAGGCAGCCATTGTACTCATTATGTCAAGGTGATTGAAGCGTTGCGAGATGGGCTAGTCCAGCCTGCTTAAATGGTTAGCCTTTTCTCCACAGGCTTGTCAGGGTTGTGGAGTTCTTCTTTAAATGGTGTTCTTCAAATTGACCCAAAGACTGGAGTAGCTGTAGCAAGGAATTCTGGGACAGTTACAATATATTATGAGATCCCTGGACTACTTAAGACATACAGAGAGGTAAGACACTTCTGAATTCTCTGTGCTGTTGAAATCCAAGGTGGAGACTTGCTGTGATCAAGAGGTGAATGCCCAGATTACTCATGCACTCCTTTCTGATCACAGCATCAGTGGTGCCACAGAACCCTCAGACAATCTTTTTTTAAGTCCTCTGGGTTTGCAAAGAAATTTTCTGTGAGAGTAGTTTAAATTAACGCTACCATTAATCATAAACACTGTTGTGTCTTTTCAAATAGTTCTACTTAGAACTCCCCTACTGTATTTTAAATGATGCTACTAAAAGGGAAAAATCTTTCTCAAGAATGATACTGGTACAGACACAGCATTCTGTATTCTAGCCATCATGTATGTTAAAAGCAGAATAAACATTTTTATTCTTTGCTTCATTGGGAACCTTCATTGGTTTACATGGGTAAAGTACACAAGTACAAGTTTCGTTTATTGTCTTAGCCATTGGCCATAACAGCACAAAGTAAATCAAAGCACAACAGAAATATATGGGTAAAGTACACTAACTTTAGTAAACTAGCTGGCCATTGTTTGTATAATGAACGCAGCAAAACCAGATCACCCATAGAAAAGGTAGGAGCCCCTCAGGAACTGCTCAGACACAAGGAAAATATGACTGTAAATTAATCCAAAGGAAAAAAGGAGAGCTCCTCAAAATCCTGCATAAAGAGAATGAAACATGATCCAAAATAGATGGAATATGGGGGAATTAGCCTGCTGAAACCCCTGTGTGAGGAAGCAGATTTGGGCAGGAGAGAGTTGAGGTAGGATTTCCAAATTGTTACCTCTTCATATGATTTCTTCACAGCCCCCAGTTGTTTCCAGATTTTAAATAATCTCTGAACTATATCTGAGTGCCAAGCTAAAATTGCCGATGCCGTTTTAGAAGCAGTTGTAGTTCGTTAAAAATTGCCATGGGGCCCCAATCCAGATCAAGTTCGTATAGTATGAGGGGCTGTTTCTGCATCTGAAAAGTCACACAGAGGTAGGAAAACCAGCTCCTGAGGTAGGAAAACACAGCTGATCTGGATCAGGGCCTCACAGCAATTTTTAAAGAACTACACTTGCTTTTAAAATGGCATCAGCATCCATGAGAGGGACCCATGGCTGCTGTCACATTTAGCTTGGTTCTCATTCTGTTCTGCATGAAACAAGATCTAGCTTGTCCAGATCTAACTATACTACGATTTTACAATATACTTCAACATTTCAGTGATGTTATAGGGAGTTTCATTTCACCAATATTTTGTTTACTGCATTATTTTACTTTGTTTTTCATTTTCTTCTTTATAATCCTTATACTGCTTGTGTATAAACTTTTGCCTTAAAAAATTAAAATAGCTGATCTATTCATACGGAGCACTGTGATATATTTATAATTCATTTGGATTACAGCACAGTTCAGGGTAAATGTGCATGTAACGCTACACATCCCACAAGACTTTCTTCCTGTGTTTCTCAAATAGTAGTCCCCACTTTTGAAACTCAGGAGGTTTCAAAAGCGTTTTGTGATAGAGCATTGGGAGGAAAATTGTTAAATGACATTAATGCAGTATAGTTTATGGGAGAGCCATTTTTTATAATGGTGGAGAATATTCATCTTGCAGTTATTGTACAATCCAAACCTGTACATGGAAGCAAATTTCTGTCAGTGGGTTTTGTATCCATGCAAGTGTGCATAAGATCACAAGCAAAATCATTATGTGTAAATGAACTTTTGTTTTGCAGTCTTCAGTAAGTGATGCTGTGATCTCTTTTTATTATTTAAGGTATTGGTTAATGTACCACAGAGGATTTTTGCAATATATGTAAGTGGAACAAAAACAAGTTTGGAGGGTATCTCATCTTCAAAAGTTATTGTCAAAATTGGGCACAGCAGCAAAAATATGAAAGGTACGATTGTTCATTTTGGTTTCCTGTTTTGTCCAAGCTGGGGTTTTTTTTTTAAATCCACAAAAATGTTATATAACATTCATTTTTATCTGTCCATCAATACTCCTTTTGTATAACTTACTGAATTATAAGTTTTATTATAGGAAAGAGTCTGAAGAATTATTTTAGCGTTTCAGTTAACTGAACTGATAACTGCATAGTTTTAGTGGGACGACACATGTCTTTTGTAGAAGAACATAAAGTAACGCAAGTTCTGGTGCATTTATTCTAGAATCAACATAGCCCTGTACCTGAACCATAATCCCACCTCAAGATTATTAAAGCAGGTCTTTTAAAAAACCCTCAAAATGTTTAATAGGAAGCAGAATATAAGCTTAATAAAGAAGTCAGCCTACTCCATGATATATGGCTGGTTCAGATGCTCATCCCCTTGAGGATCATCTTTCTTCTCAACGCTGTGCACTTCAAATGTAGGCCATGTGTATGGAAGCTAAACTGATTAAAGGGAGGGAGGAAGATCTCAGTAATCAAGCCTGTGAACATCCAAGCTTATGTGTGGAGTTCCTGGCTCAGCAATCCCTTATATTCATTGGGAATGAACATATTCACCTGTTCTTTCGAGCACAGAGAAATAGATTTTGGCTGTGTGAGAGAGTTGGTTCACTGCCTGCCAGGCCTCATATTTATCAACCACATTTCTTTTCATCCCCTTCCAAAGAAGTATTAATTCATTATTATGTTTCATTAGAGAACTAATTTGTTTTAAACTTATCATTGTGAATGCTTCAAATACAGCATGAATAATATCTACCACCATTTAACAAATATTTAATGACTAATAAGCGAGTGTATTTTTAACAATGCACTGAATAGCCCTCAGCAGTTTCTGATACACTGAGTACATTTCCACAGAAACTAATGCTCCATTTCAATCCAGTAAAAAATGGCATAATTTATCTTCTTGACAACCTCTGGAAAACACATTAGCAAGGCTTCCATAATATACTAGACTTACCAGGTTACAAGGCCTTGAACCAAGATTTAAATGAAGAGAAATTTCTGGTTGTTCAATGTGGCACATCCCTGATAACACTTTATACCTCATTCACTTTTAATTATCGTTGTACGCTTTCTCATGTTAAGTGCTTTCAAATCATATGTGGGAATAGTCACCTGTTCAGTCTTCCTAATCATCACTTTTTGTTCAAATGCATGGAAAATATAAGAAAAATTACACTTCAATGTGCAATAGCTTACCACAGCTAATTCTTGAATAAGTTTTTTTCCCCTCTGTTCTATTCCAACTGTACTACACAATATTCTTTAGGGGAATGTTCACCTGCCCAAATTGAAGTGCTTGAAGAAATGAAGCCTCAGTCTAGTATCAGTTGCCATCTTCATTTCAACACTGATTTATTTGATTTCCAAGCCTCTGAAATTTTTATAGCAGAACCCGGGTTTGATGCAGTATCAGGTAAGATTACATTGTTTTAAATGTACAATTTTGATTTCTAATTATGGTACTGAGAATTATATGGGGTACACTATGATAGTGATTTTTGGAGTTTTCCCTCAGAATTACTTATGTTTGCAGGAGTAATGATAGCAGTGTATAATACATCTATATATAAGATATACTGTGGGTGTTGGGTGTGTAATATAACTTGAATGGAGGTTATTTATTGTTTTATTTCTTAAAGGCTCAGGGAAGGTTACAATTGGTGATGGATCAACACATTTATTATACTTAGGTATAAAATTGAACTGGTTTCTCCAGTGCCAAGGATTTCTTCAGAAAAACAGATGCCACTCTGCATTCATAGACAATAATGGCCAGTAGCAGTTTTCAGCTAATTACTGGATGTTCACATTTTGTGTGATGCCAGTGTTTTCCTATTTCTATGAACACCTATGAAAGTTTTTTCCAGGCTCCATTCCATCATGTTCTGCCAGGCCCTGACTTGAAGTTAGTAACTGATAATGAAGTTTTTTCCTCTACCTTGCAGAAAGTCCCTTACAATAAATGGCTGAGATTTATTGGAACTTGAGTCAGGACCTTTTTAGCTGTCTCTGAGACTTGACCTTGTAGGCCATGTGCAAACAGTAGAAACGTTGTACTTAAGCTTGTGTAGCTGATGCAGTTTGCACTGTATTCTGAGGACATTAAGAGGACAGAGACTATGGGGCACATGTGGCTTGCCATGTACTCTGAAGCCAGTGAGGAAGAATAGGAAGGCTTGGGTCAGCCCAACTGCTTTAATCAAAATGGGGGGGGGTGTTCCTGGGTTATTAAGGCTGAGAACCACTGCTTTGAGAGATGTTATGTCTGTCTTACACTGATTCATACTTCATTGGAACAAAGTTTGAGTCCAGTGGCACCTTTAAGACTAACAAAAAACAGATACTGAAGTATCTGAAGAAGTGTGCGTGCACACAAAAGCTTATACCTTGAATAAAATTTTGTTGGTCTTAAAAGTGCCACTGGACTCGAACTTTGTTCTACTGCTTCAGACCAATATGGCTACCCCATTTGAACCTATCAGACTTCATTGTTTACGTTTCTGCTTCATAAAAACTTAAGAATAGCTGCACTGATTCTTAGGCAGAGTGCATGTAGTCCAGCATTCTGACAGAAGCCAGCCAAGCAGACGAAGGTCTTTCTCCAGAGTATCACAGGAACTGATATTCAGTGGTAGACCGCCTCTGAACATAGAGTCCCATTCAGCTGTCACGGCTAATAGCTGGTGGCCATCATCATGCCTTGTATTGCAAATTCCCTAAATTAATTATATGTTGTATTAAAAAGCTTTTTGTCTGTACTGAGCCTACTGACACTCATTTTCATTGGGTGACTTCAAAAATAGGAAAGGGAGAAAACCCTCTCTCAAATCATCCTTTTCCCACCATTAACGCAGGACACTGTGGAGACATGTAAGTTTATTTGAAATAGGCATGTTTTCAGTGTTTCTAAAAGGCTGTGAAGGGGTAGATTTTTAAAAATATTTTTTCCATTTGGTTCAGTATTTCTCTTTTCTCTGTTACGAGTGTGCTCTGCTTTTCATGTGTACATAAACTGCAATCATCAGACCTGAAATATGTCATTCCCATACCTAGATAATGCACCTACCTAACATGTTTCGGTTTTATGTTCAACTTTGTAACCCTCCCAACAATTTTCATGTAATCCTCTTAACTTTTGGCCATATAAATCTGTGTGGGGTGTGTGTTTCAGATGTATATGGAAGTAAAAATAGTTAAGGCTTATGGGTGTATAAGAATTTCACTTAACAACTCTTCAGTTTATGCACTAGTCTAACATATTATTTATGGTACTAACATAATATTGGGTACTGAAGATGAGAGAGTGAAAATAATAATCCAGTAGGTAAGTAATATAAAGTAGTAATGAGCAACATGGGGGATATAAAAACAGAAATGTGCCAGACAAGCTTTAATAATGATGATGATCATTGGCTAGAATTAAAGTGCTAAATAAAGAAAGGATAGAGGGTGATGGGTTTGATTTTCAGTGTCAAACACACTTATGTCAGTGTTTGAAATGGGAGAAAAGTTGAACCTGACAGTGTTCTTCCCTGTAGGCAATTTAAATTAAAAGCACAGCACGTTGTCTCTTACATCAACTGCCAACTATAAATATGGTCCCATTTAGCTGTACTAAGGTTGTATTGATAAGACATTTTTCTGAATAAGTAGTGTGGCACACTCAACAACAAAGTAATATGGAAAAATTATTGAATTATTAATAATCCAATTATTCTTGATTTTAGGACACTATACTTGTTCTGTCACAATGCACAGACTTCCTGACAGACAACTAAAGCAACTGACTATGAGCAAAACTGTTCTGGTTGTAACAGCTTCAGTCCAGAATGGCCATTTCCCTACTGAGCAGATAAGTGCTGAAGTGCCATTCAATCCAGGATTTTACGCTAATGAGACTGAAATTATCTTGAGTAATCATTACCCAAGTTCTGATGTGAAAATTTTTGGAGCCACTGAAATTCTTCAGAACCTTGAAGTAAGTCATGACAAATACTTACTAGTAACTTATGTAAGACTTTTGTAAAAAGAAGTATCCTAGCACACAGGGTTTCTGACACTAACATGAATTTGAATACTGTATTTCATATTGCTAGTCTATGTACGTTGCATGAACTTTGAGATATGTTTTAATCACTAGAGGGGTCACTGAAATAGTCAAGTATTTATATCAGATTGCATAATACAGATTGCATAATACAGCATTCTGCATATCTCTCACAATGATCCTGTTTTTAATTCCATTTAAATACAATGACTGTTAGTTCAAGCCACCTAGTTAAAATTTGCCTTCAGCTAGTATTTAGATTAGCAAACTGGACAGAAATAACTAAAATAAAATAATCAAATTATTTGTAGTTATTTCTGTCATGGGGTTATAACCAAAGGTTCAAGAAGTGGCTTACCATGACATTTAAAATTAAATAAAACACCACATGTAATACATATTAAACATAATGGGAAACAGACGCAAGTCAAATCCATAACAACTTTAAGAGTGTTCATTAGTAATATCAATTTCTAGTATCTTTGAATAAAAGCTAGATAAATGATAGTCTAATAGAAATATAATACTTCCAGTAATACAACAACCTGGATGGAAGTGGAGGGGAATGGCCACCAATCACTGACATACAGCTAAAATCAAAGATTAATAAATTAACTAACATTAATGTGAATATTCTTATCAGCATCAAGTAGAATTTATACTGCTGTTAAAACTTTGTGTTCAGTTACTTAGATAAAACAAAAGCTTTATCATTCAGCTTACTTCATATTCATAACTTGTTTAAGTTGTATATTTGTTTAATGAAATTTATTCCCCACCTTTCTGCCCTCTTGAGAGCTACCAAAGCAGCTTACAATATAAACATGATAAAATCACTTCTTAAAAACCCATAAAAATAACATAAATAAAACTAGAGCTTAAATAAATACAATAAAATTTAAAACCATTATTAAAAAACTGGTCAGGAGAAGGGATCACTGAGGGAATGCCAAACAAAACAAAAATGGAAACAGGAAGGGGCAGATGAGTGCCCCTGAGGAGATAGTTCCAGAACTTTGGTGCCACTGCTGAGAAGACACTCCCTCAGTTTGCAGCCTACCTAATCTCAGAATGCAGGGGCACCCAAAAGAAGGACCTTCAAAGATAACCATAGTCGACAGGTAGTTCATAAGGGAGTAAGCAGTCCTTAAGTTTTATTGGTCCCAAACCTTATAGGGGCTTTAAAGGTCAGCACCAGCACCTTGAATTGGGCCTGGAAACAGGTTGGGAGCCAGTGTAGATGGGCCAAGACTGCAGTGGCATGGTCCCTGTGACCCACTCCAGTCAATGTCCTGGTGGCAGTATTCTGAACCCTTCTTAAGGGTAGCCCCACATAGATTGCATTGCAGTAATCTAATCTAAATATATCCAGAGCACACACCACAGTGCCAAATCTTTTCTGGCCAGGAGACTAGCTGCACAGCTGACTAACCAGTCAAAGCTGGTAAAAGGCACTCCTGGCCACAGCTGCCACCTGCTTATCCTGAACTAGGCCTGAGTCCAAGAGTACAATCTGGCTATGAACTTCTTCATCCAAGGGGAGTGCAACCCCATCCAGAATGGGCGACACCTTAAATCCAGGCTCAGATACATCTATCTTGTCAGGGTTAAGCTTCCGTTTATTAGTCTGCATCCACCCCAGAACTGCCTCCCGGCACTGGTTCAGGGTTTCTGCAGCCTCCCTGGGATCAGCTGGAAGTGTGAGATAGATCTGATTGTAATCTGCATATTGGTGACAACCCAGCCCAAATCTCTGGATGACCTCACCCAGCGGTTTCACATAGATGTTAGAGCATAGGGGGCAAGATGGAACCTTGAGGGTCCCCACAGACTAAAAGCGAATTGAAGGCTGAGCAGCAATCTAAACACAACCTTTTGAAACCTATCCTCGAGGTAGGACCAGAATGTTAGTGTAATTAGTAACTTAGTGTAGACAGTGGGTTTTAGCAATATGAAGAAAAAAGTGGGGGGACCACTAGCACTTGTGGGAGGCATTTTATTTCCCCTTCCCCCCTCTTTCTCTTCCCTGAAAGCCCCAATAGACTCTCCCCTTTTCCTACTTCTCTCTTTCCTTTCTGCCTTCCAACCAACCTACATTCATCTGCCCCCATCTTCAGGTTTCCCTCCCATTGGCAACCTGTCCCTGGATGAACTCTGTATGATTCTGGCTACTAAGCTGCTGGGTCCAGTTTTATACTGGGGGAACCCATATGGACTTTCAATGGGCCCCTCACTTTCTCCTGTGCCTCCCTGCCTACACTATTTTGTCTTTTCCTTCTCCTGGCAGCCCCTATATTATCTCATTTCCCTGTTTCCTTTTCTCCTTTCCATCAACCAACCAACCTTTTATATGTCCCATCTCCAGCTATATTTGTTATTTATATACTTCGTTTACATCCTGCATTTCTCCACAGTGGGGACCCAAAGTAACTTACATTAATTGTAAACCCCTTTATTTTTTCTCACAACAACCCTATGAAGTGGGTTAGGCTGAGAGTGTGTGACTGTCCCAAGGTCACCTGGCAAGCTTCCACAGCAGGGAGGGGGTTTAAACCTGGATCTCCCAGATCCTAATCTGAAACTGTAACCATTACAACACACTGGCTTTTCTGGAGTGGCTGCTGTTGAACAGTAGCAAGAAGCCAGGCCTATATGAGTCACGCAAGTTATATGGTAACAAGTTGCCTGGTAGTTGCTGCTGGCCCTAGTCTTGATGGGTCATCCCTTAAAGGCCAAAAGAGCTCTAGAAAATGCCCTGCTCCCTCCCCCTGCCGTTTACTGACAGAAACCAAGGCTTGAAGACTGCAAGTACTGTTGTGCTGACCTAGCAACAGCCACTGAGGGAATTTGTTTTTTAAAGCTATATATGCTTGTATTATTTGAGGGGGTTCAAACCCCCCTCCCCCTGGTGTGGGGTTTTCTTTAGATGTCAGATTTTTCTGCAATTTTGGGATTTTTTTAGGTTTATAGAAAGATCTATCTGATCTGTTCATAGCTCTAGTTTTTGGATTTACTTATCCACAGATTTGGCCATGTTATAAAAAAAAGCACCCCATTCACTATTCTAATTTTCATATAAATGCGAGAAATAAGAGCATCATATTGAAAGGCGTGGGGAATCTATAGTGAATCTAATTTTCCAGATAGCAGGAGTTACCATGAAAACTATAAAGCCAACAAACAGTGAACATCTGCAGCATCTAATGCTGTTACTAAGGGAAAGATTGGTTAATAGTGCCATCAAAACAGGAGGAAAGGTAAAATGACATTGGAATGTATAAAGAAATCATTGTGTGACTCAGGTTCAGACAAAAGACTGAAAGCCTGGGTGATATGTAACTGAAATCTCAAGGTTTTTAAAGGCAAAAACACCTGCAGATAGCTCTGATCTAGATTGGAGCTATGGGGAGGCGGGGGCTAAGGCTTTATCTTGTGCCTTTTTTGCAATGGAGAGCACCAGGCACCACTCACAAAGGAATTTGCCCCATAAGAGAAAACATGTATGGAAAGTTAAAAACCCCTTCACCCCAGTTCCACAACCACAGTCCAAACCAAGGTCTTCACTGCTGCTCATACCTTTAAGAGAAAAATACAGGTGAGATCCTGATCACAGACCTTCTGTTTCATGTTCATTGTGATTCAGCTCAAAGGCAAATCACAGAAGGATTCCTCAGGAAGGTTAGTTACACAACATATACAATAATAGCATGTATGGCTACATGAATGTGACACGGTCTCACTGGAAGAAACTAATGGAAGAAGATGAGGAGGAGGAGATTAGATTTATACCCCACCCTTCACTACCCAAAGGAGTCTCAGAGTGGCTTACAAACTCCTTTCCCTCCCCCTCTTCACAACAGACACCCTGTGAGGTAGGTGGGGCTGAGAGCTCTTGACAGAAACTGCTCTTTTTCAAGAACAGCTGTGCCAGAACTATGGCTTGCCCAAGGTCATCTAGCAGGTGCAAGTGGAGGAGTGGGGAATCAAACCCGGTTCTCCCAGATGGGTGTCCGCGCACTTAACCACTACACCAAACTGGCTCTATCGAAGCTCTATCAGAGAAATAAGGGGTTAGTTACTTGGACCTCACTACCATGAACCATAACAGGGCTTTTGCAAGGTATCTTTTAAAATACTTGCACAAAATCAAAGAGGAATGCACTTGTGTGTTCTTTGGCAATTCTCACAGGTATGCCATCAAAACAGGGGGATGGTCATCTTATATTTGCATACAAGCTACAGTTATCACTGATATATATTTTTGTTTTGTATAACATTTATAAGGAGATTGTTTTATGTTCAGGGTCATCTTCCTTTCATTTTCCTTGCTTCCTTTAAATTGAATGGTAAATTTTCCTTACTGTTTACTGAGAATCTATTCAGAAGACAAAAAAAGCCGGAGTGTTTCCTGTAAGAAATACATTTTACCTTGCAGGTGAAATCGGGCTCACCTATGGTAGTGATCTCTGAGAAAGACAGAACTTATGGCTTGCCTAGTTATATAACTTACACTGTCAGATTATCAGATCCAAGACTGTCAAGCAAAGGTTCTTTATCTACCACACTCACTATAACAAGCAGAGTGACGGACCAGTCTTTCACTATCCCAGTGACAATGATTTATGTATCTGACAGAACTATGTCAGTGAAATGTAAGTTTCTCTTTTCTGTATATACAATTTATATTGGAATAAGTCTGTTTTTTAATGCTAAGTATTGTTGTCATAGATGCAACGAACATGAAATTGAGCAAACTTCAGAGGACGGTGGAAGACAGGAGGGCCTGGCGGGAGTTGGTCCATGGGGTCGCGAAGAGTCGGACTCGACTGTGCGACTGAACAACAACATTGTTGTAGACATATTTAGAGCTAGAATTGCACAAGTTTCTTCTGCAAGGCTGTGTGTATTAGTTAGGAACACTGGCACAGCATTGTCACCACAGGCTTGCACAAAGATTTCCCTTTTCTTCTGGGGTGAAAGAGTCCAAAAATTAGTGCCAGTCTTGCTATTATGAGGGATTGAAAGGCCTCATCTCTGGTCATCATAAGTCCTCCATTCCTACTATAGCCCATTGCGATTTCCAAAGCTGAAGGACCTTCAAAGTAACTTCAGATATAGCACACAATCCTGCAGCTGAAAAAGAAGTTTGAAAGCCTGAAATCATGCACTCATGTGCTTGGGTGCATATAAGGGAATTTTAGGTACCTCTCTAACAGCAGCACAGTACTCATAAGAAACATAGTGCCAATATCTTTAGAGCTACACTTAAAGTTAAATGGTTAAAACATTTTCAAGAACAGTTAGTCAGTGGGAGGAGGCTTTGTAAACCATATATGTTGTTGATTTAATATATTTTTGACCACATAATTGTTTTGAAAATTGAACATTGTATTGAAATTTCTTACTGTGTTAAAATTCAGCCATGTTGTTTAGATATGTAGCAGAAATAAATATTTCTACCTAACTGTTGGAAAGAACCCAATTTGAGTAGCAACAGAATAGGAAGATAAAATAATATTTAAAACATTAATTTCAAAATTTCTTTTTTTGAATTGGTTCTACAGATGGAGCCAGCTTATTCTATCACTTCATTGATTCCTACCAGATCTTGTTTTTTACACTTTTTGCACTGCTTGCAGGTACAGCTGTTATGATCATAGGTAAGAGAGTCATATTCTGTTAAAATATTTTTCATCTAACTTTTTCAGCATTTTCACTGTGGTTTTAAATGATTGATTTCAGTGCTGTCACTCATTTTACAATGTCTTTCAGTACATTGTGCCATTTTTTCACCAAAAGAACAGAAAGCTCATCCAGCTTTTACCCCAAGGAGAAGCCCCCAGCACAGACCAAATGGTAAGCAGACATCAGTCCGTTAAAACTGAAATTTTAAACAGTGCAGCTGAACAGATATTGTACCTAGGAAAAGGATTTCACATGCACCATAAAATGGTGGCCTGCAAAATACTGAACCTTCTTCATCCAGTGTGCTTAAATAGAGTTTCAGGGAAATTCCAGAACATTGCCTGACACATTGTCATCACCTCTGGGTTTTCACCTAGATGAAATATCAGTGTGCCACACAACATAATTTCTTCCCCCACATTTCTCCCACCAACTCAGATGCAAGGAAAGGTGGGAGGACTAAACTGGTGGGAGATTGTCTGCCCAAAGCAAGCAGATGGTATGCCTATGGACTGACTATTTTGCCATATTAAAAAGGCCTTCAACTTAGAATTCTAGAAGAGTAGGTTTTTATACCATGTTTTTCACTACCTTAAGGACACTCAGAGCAGCTTACAATCGCCTTCTCTTCCCACAACAGACACTTTGTGAGATAGGCGGGGCTAAGAGGGTTCTGAGAGAACTGTGACTGGCCCAAGGTCACCCATCAGGCTTCATGTGGAGGAGTAGGGAATCAAACCTGTTCTCCAGATCAGAGTCTGGTGCTCTTAACCCCTACACCATACTGCCTCTAGCTGTCGGAGGAAGGGTTGTAACTTAGTCTCCCTCCTGATGTTGAGTGTGAATGAATAATTGCTTATATGTGATGAAATCGTGTGAACCCCTACCTGCAGTCTGAAGTGGTGAAGTCCAGACACAGCTTTACCACCTGAATGAGAACTAAGCTTTACCTGAAAGCAATTATTGTAAATAGCTGGTAGAAGAGGAGGAAATAATCATTTCTGTTATTTATTGATAGGTGTTGAATTTCCTGTTCCATCTGCAGTTGCTTTCAGCCCTATACCATCAAGTAGAGAAAACAGCTCTCCTACTAGGCTATGGAGTCCCCATTATGCTTCACAATAGAGAAATCTATTTGCTACACAAGGATTTTTGTTTGCATTTTAAATTGGTGCCTTCGATACCATGTGAAACTGTGTCAAAGTTTTGTTTACCTTAGTGCAATTTTTTGTTAAGAGAACAACAAAATCACTGTATGTTTTAGTGCACCATGCTGATAAAATGCATCTGGGTTGCTTTCAGTTTTGCAGATTCTGTTCCTGTACGGTCTGTCATTATGTTCAGTGATACTGGGGGAAGGGGGGGGGTGACCAGTATCTGTGCTTAGCAAGCTTGTGTTTTCCCCCTTCTTCTGCATGCTCCAGTTAATTTCAGCTCTGCTTCTTAATTGTACAGATGCACAGCATTTCTTATTTCCCATGGATTACATTTTTATTGTTTTTCAAGGAGACTGCATGCTTTTAGAATAGTGACATAACTAAAACATGAGCCAAGTGAATGAAGGATTATATGCTTCTACAGAACTAAAGTTTTAGTTTGGTTTCTCATTTTATTTTATTTTGGAGACTCAGGAATGAATGTGCTGCACTGATATACTTTCTCCCTGTTTAGCCTTACAAATCTTTGTAATTGGCCAGTACAGAAAGCAGTTATGCTGTAATAACTGTGAAGAGTTTCTTCTTTGTAAGAACTGTAGCAGAATCCCCCTTTACCTACAAATGGTCAACTCCTCCAGTTGCTGCTGCAAATATGTAAGGAGCATTCGGCATTTCTTTGTGAACAGAACTTTTTACTAAAGCTGTTTTATAACTATGCAGACTTTTTTAAAAAAATGAAGACAATTTATTTTAACAATTTTTTTAAAAATAACTTGAATAGTATAAGAGTGGCGAAGACATCTTCATGAGCCTTGTTTGTACCTCAACACAAATGGAACCCCCATGCACATCTGCTGACCTGTAAATTGAATTAGGAGCCTGATCTTGAAGTGATGCACAAGCACAAATGCCATTGAAATTCAAGAAGAGTCGTTTAGCCATCACATTCTGGATTATGCAACAGGAAATTGTTTTGCGCTGCTTTCTTCAAAATTCACCATAGTATGACTCTTATCTATTAATACCTTAACAGGGTACGACCATATGTTAAAATACTTGCCATCGCTTCAGCTTCCCCTGGTGTGAAACCATGGCAGTATTCAAGGCAATGCAAAGGTACTGATTGCTCCAGGTGGAACAGAATGTCTCCCATGTATTTCCATGATATAAATGGTAAATACGTCTGTTACTATTAATTATATATTACAGGATACGGAAAGAGTACTTACAGTAGAATTCGTAGCAGAGTTGTACCCTTCTAAAACCACTGTATTTAGTGGACTTAGAAAGGCGTAATTCTGCTTACCATTGCATTGTTACTCATATATACAGACCAGACCATCCTGTGCTTTCCAGCACATTGTTTTATATAGGACCAAGTTTTGGGCTGAATTTACTTTTAGGAGCAATACAGTTTCATTTGAATGGTCCATATATTGTTTTGTGGAACCCCCCCCCCCATTACTGCTGTGGGGAACTGCATGCTTCCTTTCCCAGTGGCTGCAACAACCATAAACATTCTTGGACGTGGTGGTAGTATGGAACTTAAATTCAATGAAAATTATTGTTTGTAAGTGCTGATTCACAGGCTCACATCTTCTTGAATGCGCAGCTGTCAGGTATTTCAGAAGAGCTTTTATTGGGCCCAGCAATAGGTCATTGTGCAAATGCAATCTCGCTAACCTGTCACAAAACAAGGCTGTCAATAAAATTCATATACAAGAGTTTTTTGCAGAGGTTGAAAGAAAAATAAAATGATGTTTACCAGGGGAATGTCCTTAAATCTTGTCTTGGGATAAACATGCTGCCTTATTTGTACTACAAGAAGCTCTTTATCATGGGAATTTAGTAAATTTTCTTGAGCCTTCAGGCTAAATATCATAGGTCTTGTTTATTAGGAAGTCTTCTGTTCTAGTACTGTGAGAATTGTGTCTGTGAATCTGCTAAATTGTGAATTCTTTTTTAAAAAGTGTTAAAAATAGTTAATAGAAGACTAAATTATGCACAAAATGTCCTGTGACATAAAGCTTTATTCTTAAAGTATTATTGAAGAAATACGGTTTGTGCTTGGATCTGTATAATCTATTCATGCATTTTTGAGAAATAAAGATGTGCCTTAACTTGACTGAGTTGCATGAAACTGATTGGATGGATGTAGATGTGACTATTTAATTTTTTAAAATATGGCTTTAAAGCATTGCTGTAATAAAACTACAACTTTAAAAAACGGAGTATGCTTGCATTGAAGGAGACTGGAAAAGAGATAAAAGGGGAAATAATGGCTTGGCTTATGGTATGACAGTGCCTTTACATCTCCTTGAACGCTTTCCAAGTGCCTTTGTTTTCCTGTCCTAGTATTTATGCTTGGTGATAGAAGTGCATTTTAGATGGAAGGCACAATTACCTACTGACTTCATGGTGGGAGAGGCCCTCCTGCCCTAGGAAGAGCGTTGTCATTTGAATAGGAAGTAAGGTCTAAAGGGAGTTCAGGGAGCTGTATTGTTTCCTTTATATAAAATGCTGCTGTTTTCTGGTTTCTCCTCCAGTCCTAAAACTGAGTGATTTGGGAAGATGGAGGACAAAGAGAAGGCCAGGCTTTTCTCCTGGTGAGAATTGCACCAATTATTCCTCCTGTCCCCTGACCTGTAGTTATCTTTCTAAAGACTGGCCAACTTTACATTACTAGCTTGTTTCTATTGCAAAGAAGGTAAAAGTCCGTTTTGCCAGGAAGCAGTGCAACTGCCTCAGAGCTTTGTTTAATCCACCTTCTGTCACTTAGACAACAACTGGAGAGGTGATAGTTACAGATTCACTAGGAAAGTGTCATGTGAAAGTTTCACCTTCCTAGAATTTCCTAGGTGGAAATTAAGTGACTTGAGTCTGATGCATGGCTTCATTCATGCCTTCCCTGTAATTCTCTTTTAACAAGGCCTACCTCTTACAGTCCTTTAAGTGACTTGTAATATTTTGATTTGGCCTACATGTATAGGGGGCACTCTTTGCTATTCCCCAAGATAAGTTTTTAATTAAAGAGGGGGGTGAGGCTGTACCTCTCTGTGTCTCCTTTTAAACCTTATTCTACTGGATTTTTTTTCATGAAGTGCACACAGTGTGGCAGGACGTGCCCAAGAATAACCTATCAAATGGTGTCAGTGCCATTCTAGATGCTTTGAAATGACCTGAAAACTAATGTTAGAAGACAGATAACCAAGTTTGTAAGTATCTTGCCACACATGGATGTGCAACCAGTATCAAATGGCTATATGCTTTGGCTCTTGGCATTTAAAAACCACCTGTTAATGGAATTGCTGTAAGTAGAAGTCAGTAGGCTTTGGCACAGTCAGGATGGAGTTGCTGGAAGAAGAGCAGTGGACATGCACAGTATGGCCCTGGAACTTGATGGTTACTTGGTATACTGATCGCTTTCACTATGAACATGTGTTAGTTGTGGTTCATTGTAATTCATGTGCCTTTCTGCAATCTCACATTCCCCATATGTTTTCTGGTTTCCTTGCGAAGCTGCCTTGCTTGGCTGCACTCTGTTTCAAGTGTAAAAGCTCGTTATCAGTGGTCACGGTCTACACCTTAGCCAAGGCCAGTGCTCAGATAGCCTACACTAGCATTTTTTAGGGTCAAGGATGAAAGAAGCAGGTGTGGCTCAGTAAATGATTGAAGGCTGAGGCACCATAATCAAGCCAGGGAAAATAATGGAATTGCCCAAATTCTGAAAAGTTAACGTTTTGAAATTATTATTTAATACTGAGCACCTGTCCATTACCACAACAATCTCTGTTATCTGGTTTCAACTCCTACCTATTCACGTCTCTTAAATATCCCAATGTTTGTCAAAAATGGTGAAAGAGTAAAATCAGATTTCACCAGTAGCTGAGAAAAAATGGTTGGCTACAGTCTGTGGACCCCTTAACATGTTTGATCTTATTCACCGTTCTTTTATGTTACCAAGACTCAATGTTTTACCTTCAGCGGTATTGTCTGAGAGGTTTGCCAACACTCCCTATTAAGAAAGACTGTCCATGTAAAGGAAGGCACCTAGAAACGGTAGCCCATGTTCTACTTCATTGTGATTTTTATCGGGAAGTGCAGGACTGTATAATTAAACCTATTGTGTCTAACTTTCACGATCTATCTGAGATGAAGTTAGTATCTCTTTTACTATCTTACTGATATTCCCACAATACAAGTTCAGTTGCAAGGTACCTCTTGGCTGCCATAACAATCAGGGAGCAAAAGTCTAGCTTTTCTATGTGATGCTTGATGGTTTTTATAATAGAAATTCTCTGTAAATTGGCCATGTTGTACCTTTTTTTCTTTTTATGCCAATAAAGGTATTTGGATTGGATTGGGATTGGTTTGATCTTATTTTGTTAACTTGGAAGTAAGTCTCACTGAATTCAGTGGGACTTAACTTTGAGCAAGTGTGCATACATTTGTAGCTCCAGGTTGAGATGAGAATGAGTGAATGGAAAGTACTAGGCATGGGCAGTGTGTCAGACTACATGAAGACAACTGTAAAATCTGGTTTTTGAGAGCCAATAAGAAAGATATGGCTGCCTCCTGCCTTGAATTTTCAGGCATCCTCCTATTCATTATCATTCTATATATCTTGCAGGATTGAGATGTCAAGGGGGGAAGGAAGAAATAAAAGGCAAATGAAGGTGACAGAGACAGTGAAAGAAAACAAGATGAACTGACAGAAGGAAAAGGATACAGAAGTGAGCAAAAGTGGCACAGGAAGTAGAGGTTGAAAGAAGGTGCAAGTAGGTACAAAAAAGGCAAGAGGCAGAAAAAGCAGGTGACAGATGGGGTAAATAAAGGGACAGAGGAAGTGAACAAAGGCATTGCAGAGTACGAGAGGAAGTGAAAGAAGTTGACAGGGCAGAGAGGTTGCAAATGTGTTCAGTAAGCAAGGAGTATTAGGAATGCTTTCTTTAAACAATAAGGGGACAC